GCTGGGCCACGTGCCACAAAATACCAGTGTGGGCTCCAGTGAGAAGGCTTCAGGTGTGAGCCAGCCCTGTGCTGTGGCTGCTCTGCACCAAAAACTATACAGTGCTGGCCTGTCTGCAGCAAGCCCTGGAGGTGAGGGTGACACAGGTGATGTCTTGTCCCAGCACCCTGGGCTGTGCCAGTTGTCCCATCTCCTGGGGGACACCCAGTCCCAGACACAGCTTCCCCCCCCTGCCATCCCCAGGAAACCACTACAGTCCTGGCACAGGGATGGATTTTCTGCCCTGCTGCAGTGACCCCCCCTTCCTGTTGGCCTGGGTTGGCACAGGACACTGTGCCAACACTTACTGGTTCTGTGATTTGCCCACAGAAATGCTGTCCTAATTTGTCCTTTATACCTGGAAAATCTCAGCACACTGACCTGACCCCAGGCCTTTTTCACCTGGCTTGTGACCCTGCACCTCTCACCTACTCCAGCCTCTCCATGCTGGCTTGTTTGCAATGTTTTCCCTGACCCTCATGTCATTTCCATCTCCTGCTTGTCCCTGATGAGCCAGACCTCTTGTGGGGGCAGCTGTGCTGGATGGGAACATCTGGGGCATCCAATTCATGGGCAGAGGCATAGCTTCATTTGGAAAATACCTTCCCACTTAACATCAAAGGTTAAGGACATCTTCCAAATACCGAGAGCAAGGCAGCAAATGTTCCACTAGGCACGGCTGAAAAGTTGCTAGGTGTGCAAGAGGCTGAGTATCCTCTTACTCCCTGATTTTGATTTAGAAGAGGGGAGACAAATCTCTCTGGAGTGTAACATGAGTTACAGCTCTCAGATTGCAAGTGCCTCCAGCATTGTACTAGCTGCTATCTTTGTCAAAAGAAAGTTAGTTGACTTTATTTTTAATATTAATCAATTCCGGTGGCTATTTCTGATGAGATGAAGCCGTGCAGGTAACAACTCAAAGCAGTCACCTTCTGCACTGGGCACATCCAGCTCACCAAGGACACATGTTGCTTTCTGTTTGCATTGTCCAAAACACATCAGGAAATAACAAAGAAAACTCACCTGAAACCTTGAAATCTTGTCTGCCATCACAGGCTGTTGCAGACATTGTTTAGGCTTATAACAGCAAAAAGAGATTTCAAACATTCAAGAAAGAATAGCAATAACATCTTTCTCCTAAACATGAGAATCCTTTACTTTCATGTAAATAGTCCCTTATTGGCTGATATCAGTCCTTCAGAAAACCTCCAGCAAAATCAAGGCAAACAGTGATACATCAAGCTGAAAAATGTTTAATTCAACAGGTAAATTGCTTTCCACCAAGCCTTCCTCATGTATAGTGCTGAACCAGCTCAGGGCATGGCCCACCCTGGTTTGCCTCTCTAGGTTAATTTGAAAAAAAAATAAAGCACAAAGGCACTACTTTGGATTCCATCAATGCTATTAAACCAGGCCAAATGAGCGTCATGTCAAAAAACAGTAATAATGCAGCAATAAAATAAAAAAACACTTCTCTATCTCCCTTCCAAGATATTGAGCAGCTTCACAAGATTATAAAAAATTGGCTGGCTTGAAGGGGACCTTAAAGATAGTCTAGTTCTCAGTGTCCCATCCAGACTGGTTTTGAAAACTTCCAGGGATGGGGTACTTATGTTTCCTTCCATCAGATTTAGGAAGAACTTTGAAAGCTGATGGGGACAATGTGGCAAAGTGTTTGATTCTGCTGGATTTAAAACCCAGCTTAGCTGGGCCACAAACATCCCAGAGCTTGCTGGTGCTGCAGATGCTGGCAACAGGGCAGGTCTGACTTGTTGCATGACAAGATGAAGATGCTGGTGTGTTGTGCAGTCTCTGCTATGATTCAGTACCCAAATAGTAAATATTGGCTTTTGCAGCTGCTAATTCCCTCAATATTTGCTTTTGAGAGACAGAATCCTATTGACTTCACACAATCAGTCTGTGTATGATTGTAAATCTCTCATTACGGGGGAAAAAATTATTCTCCATTTTCATTGCTGCAAACCAAAAGCAACTGCTGTAGATTTACCATGCAGTCAGAATCAGGCTCTCAGTTTAAAAGCTGAAGCTGAAGCCCACCCTCACTGTGGATGGGAAATACAAACAGTCATTGCACAGGTTTTAGTTAGCAGTTATGAGAGTGGTAGGCAGTTCAAGCTCTGATCCCTGGCACATCCAAATGAGCTGGCACTAAGATCACACTGTGTTTTTTTATGGACTAAGGCATGTTTTCAGGAGCTTACAGGCAGTTCCTTCCACAGTGTGGAGAAAGGGAGTGAGATGGACCAGCACAGTTACAAACCCAGCCCAGAATCCCTTTCTTCCAGTCCTTTTCTCCTGAGGGACTGGGGCTGCTCCTGCTGCCTGTACTAGATACCAACAAGTACCAGCAGTTCCACAGGACCAAAAAAGCAGTCTTCGTTTACTGTGACAGCTGTGCTGCACATTTTTGATGAGGCTGTAGGCCAGTGCCAGCTGAGCCATCAGACAAGGTGGCTGTGAGAGCTGAGGCTCTGCAGGATTTCAGTTCCAATCTGCCCTGAAAGGTTGCAGCTTCTTCACTTGAGGGCTGCTTTGTGTGACCCAGGAAGCTCAGTGCCCTCACCACTCTGACATGACACCCTCACAGGGGCAGCACCAAACACCAAGGCAAATACAGAGGGGAACCATGACCACCTCTTTGACCATCACCCCACTGTCCTTAGAGAGTCATGGCAAGAAAAATGCCACGAGCTTCCTCCCATCAAGCTTCCCCATGCTCACGGTGAATCTCCTGGCTGGGCATGGCCACTGCAGCAAGGTCTCACCAGTACTGTTCACCATTCCCTTACCTGGGACACAGCCCACTCCTCATCTGCCCTTGAGCTCCTTGCTCAGCGTGGACAGCCACAAACCAGCAGTGTCTTTCAGGGATTTTTAAAGCCTCATTTCTCTGCAGTCTTGTATTTCTGCTGAGGAGGAAACCCACTGCTCCTTCTGGGTTTCTGAGGACTTGCTGCACCCCCAGTGCTGAGGGAACTCAAAGAGGCACAGGGCTGTGCTGGAGGGAGGGCTGGTCACCGGGTACTGCCACAGCAGCACTCACTAGAAGGGATTATGTTTCTCAAGTCTTCTTGCTTAACATTCCTCAGCTGGACCTTTCTCAGTTACACTTTTATTTTTTAATGTTCCCACTTCAGACTTGAGCATTAATCTACAGGTTTAGGGACTTTGATTCTTCTTTGTTCTGGTATGAGGCACCGAAGACTGCCGTCAACAGACTTAGCAGCTGCTCCAGGAAATATTTGGCTCTGGGACATAAGCACTAGGCTCTCTCACAGCCTTGCCTGTCAGACTGTTAGAGGGAAAGTCTCTGAGGTGATTAGTCAACTAATATATCTAATAAGGGGTTTAAGCAGCAATCCATTATGTTTAACAATTCTAAGAATAATTTCCTTTTTAGTGCGCTGTACAAGAGACGACAGTGTGGGGAGCAGTTGGCTGAGCATCCAATTCTCCCACCACCAACTGAATAAGGCTTATTTAAGTTTATCATCAATTTTACTTTGGCATAATTGATTGCCCAGATGTGTGAAAAGCTTTTACAAACAGCACAGTTACTGCTGCTACAGGCTTGCAGGCTGGGCTGCAGCTATGGAGGCCCAGGGAAGGAGCAGGCATTTACTCCAGCGAAACAGGGATACACAAGTTCATCACTCTCATTTAATTTCCCTGCAAAAGAAAAGCAGATACTGGTCTGACTTTTGGGATAAAAATGTTTTGAAATGTGCTCAAGCAATGACTTGTCAAGGGAAGAGGGGAGATTTGGCTTACACCTTCTTTCTGTTCCATAATTTAAAAAAGAAAATCCAGAAATAATTTGTTGTAAAAAAGTCTCCCTACACTTTTAAAACGGGTTCTGTCAGCAATCTACTAGGAAAAATCCTATTCCTCAAGTTATAGCACCCTAAGGGGGAAAATTTTAGCCAAACTATATATAAATATGCACTTTGTTCCTGATAAAATCTGTTTAATTCCAGCATCTATTAGTATTTGGAAAAAGGGATCTCTTTTTTAAAGCTCATACTCTTTCATTTTCTATAGGGATCTGACAGTGCATGTTCCCCATGGTCACCAAAAATCAAGTGAGGCCAACCTTTTCTGCAAATTTAACTTCAGCCATGACTTGAGTCATTCCTGAGTCAGTGCCAGGTGTCCCTCTGCCCATATGGATGTGGCACTACTGGGGACACGAGAGCCTTCGTGTGGTGCTTCCTGCTGCCACTCTTGCTTGAGACCAGGGACCTCCAGAGTCACTTCTCCAGGTCTGGCAACACGAGCGAGCTCGGCAGCGTCAGCTGAGCACCCTTGGCAGAGAGACGTGCCATTCCTGAGCAGGCAGAAGCTGGAGAGAGCCCATCCCAGGCTCTGGAGGAAAGCGTCTGCCATGGTCTCACCTCACCTCCCATCTCGCTGCACTATCACACCATGCCCCCCTCAGAATCAGGAGCCTGAAGGCCCCATGTTAAAAAAGCCTCTTGCAAATTTAGCTGCAAGTAAGGAGGCAAGGGAGGGGTTTTAGGGCTTAATTTCCCCCTGCTGTGTCTACATGACTTAACCGGGACAAAAGACTTCCGAGCTTTATTTTGGTGAAGCCTTGGTGAGATGAAATGTATCATTTGTAAAAGAATCTCTCTCCATCTAGCTTATATAAAAAGATAGTTTTCCCCCTGAAGACACTTCAAATACCAGTACCTGCTGTCAGCTCATCAGAACCATTTTTATTTTGCCATACTAGCCTTGTATTTGAGGCCCAATTCGAGTCCTATTAAAGGAACTCAAGCCTTGCTCTAACGAGCAGGCCCTTAAAACACACCCAAAAGGCCGTGAAAAAATAAAAATAATCCATTCAACAGCTTTGCAGACTAAATCTCAAATGTATTTAACACGCAACTCTTGCTGCAAAGCTTGTGGAGGGATAAAACAAACAAGCCTCGGTCTGCTGGATTGCTTTAATAAAAGGTTTATTGGAAATATTTTTGTGCAGACATACAACAGTCAACAATGCTGTTCAAAGCTACAAATTGTCTAAGTTTTCTGAACCTTCTAAAAATACAAGTAAATGACCTTCATTTGTATTCAGTCTGAGAGGGAAACAAACTCCACTGTAATGCAATGCTGTATTTAAACTACCAGAGGACATTAATAGGACCTGAAAATGGTAACACTTCTAGAGTAAAAAACCCACACACCACTGCTGCTCTGCTGGGAGCCAATTAAACATCCCCCCACAGCACCACTCCTCTCCACAAATCCAGATTAAAACGTCCCCATCTGAAACAATATTTAAGCAATTTGAGTACAGATATGACAGACAAGCGGGCACAGGACTTGGCTCGCTGATGAAAAAGATGCTGTTAAGGATCCTGTCACTCAAGACACTGAATATTTAACCTCCAGTACAATGGGCTGTACTTTGAGGGACAGAAGGAGGGACAAGGGGAGGTTTTCAAGTCACACAACTCTTCCAACACACACATGTACACAGTCCCAGAGGGCTTGGCTGCCTCATTGCTTTATAACTGGAGCTCTTTAAAAAAAAAAAAAAAAAAGAGTTGAGCAACAACTTTGAGCAACTTTCCAGTCTATGAACTCCCGACAGTAAGAACAGCAAGTACCTTCATTCCCTTTCTGAATCAACATATCAACCAGAAGGGCTGAGGAGAGCATAAGCACTGTCTGGTAAACTCCATGTTTTCTAAGAAAGCCTGCAGATGTTTTGAAATTGATTAATTTATGCCAAGACGACATCTGGAACATCTTCGCAGGAAAACCACCCAGTAAGGTAGTTAGAATTTAAAACAATCATGTCTTTCTCTTAATGTTGGCTTTTTCCCTTGGCTTCACTGCTCCATAATTACAAGGGTGCTGACCTTCCAGCTATGCACAGTGACAGTTTGGCAATATATTAACACTTTTCTTCATTGTTAGACTTCTGAGTGATTGCCCAGAGCTGGGATTGCCCACACAGAATTTGTCATTTACCAACTTCTGTTTCTCTTTAGTAGCTACAAAGACGCTGAAGGAGAATGGACCTCTTGTGGCAGACTTCAGGAGAACTTATCTCACCTTCTTCATACATAAAAGAAGGCTTTGGATAAACACCAGTACTCAGCCACTTTACCTTCTGTCTACATCACACATGAGCAGGCCATGAATCCAAATGAAACAACCCCTGGGCCTCACACACTATCACAAAGAGATCCAGGAGCCCAGATTAACAAGCCCCTTGCACTGGCCTGAGGGACAGGAACCTGCCCAGGAGCAACAGCTAAGCAGAAGAACCACTAACTCTCCATGATGGAGTGTTAGTCAGGACTGAAATAATTCCAGTGCTCAGTTCTGGTAAGTCCATGAGGTAAAGAGGAACCAGTAAACAATTTAACAATCTTCATAACCCAGTAAACAATCTGCTAGAGCCAAAGCACGCTAAGCCGGGAGCACCTCTGGCAGGGATTCATTCTAAGTCCAGAACTCAGCTTGGTACCAGAGAAACTCAGCTTCAGGAGGTAACAGTGCTTCACAAATTCTCAGCTTGGCTCTGCTCCCTTCCCAGAGCCACAGGAAGGAACCAAAGAAATCAGCTTTATCATAGCTCTCCACAGATGCCTGAGGAATCCCTCCCCCCACTAACCTCTAACAGCAGCACTGGTCTTGGCTGATCTATTTTGTTTCTCAGTCCCTTCACCTCTCCAGACAGCCCATCCAAAAGCACATTCCTGGCCAGATAAACTCAGTCAGGCTGTCTAGGCTTCCTGCAGGTCATTGAGAAGCGATCACCTTTGGGATTCACTTGTGTGGCCAAGCAGTGCAGGGCACTTTCTGGTTTTCATTTGCCAACAAAGCTCAAAGCCTCCATTAATCTTACTGCTACATATGGAAAAGGTACCCATATGGATTTATTTTATTGTCACCTATTGTACTGACCTATCTTGTGGCCTTCTCCGGACACACAGCTCTGGTCACAGATGCTGAAAGGTAGTGAAGCCTCTCTTGGGTATTTACAGTGTACTGGGAAGAGGTGAGTGTAAGAATCCTTCCTGACAGGACAGAAGGGGTCCAACTCTCTGGAGGCTGAGGAACATACATGGTCAGTGCCATATTTTAGAAGCAGTCTAAAACCAGGCATAGCATAGACACAGCCAAATTCTCCTCTCCAACCCCTCAGGTATTTTATACCATCACCATTTCTTGTTAGACTCTACAGGACACAAAGAGCTCTCCTGCAACCTGATTGAAGTTTAAGGCATTGGTACTGTGTGATGATTCAAAATAAAGGTAAAATAACCTCAGTGCTTAACATTAATGAGAAATCTGATAAACCCAAGGTGCTTCTCAGGGCCAAGCACCCACTCAATGCCTGCTCTGCTGCAAACCTGAGCTGCCAGAAAAACACTCCTCTGAGCATTTAAAGATTAAATTAAGTCATTAGTTATAAAGCCAAGGGAGAATGTAAATAGAGTATCACTAGTCTCCACTAATGAATGGAAGCAATGTGAAAACAGAAGATTTAGTGAGTTAGTCCAAAAGAGCAAACTAAGCCTGCAGGACAGGGACAGTGTAAGGACTGTGCACCTCTCAGGCTCTTGGGTTGTCCACAGAAGGCCAAGTTGCACCCTGTGTGGCCACTGACCATGTCCCCATATTTCACATATTCACATAAATAAAGCTTTCTCTGCTTTATTTACAACTTTATTACTATGACTGTCTCCCAGCAAACACACTCCAGTACATGCTGTAAAAAATAACATCATCTTAGCAACAGAAGACTTCCCTGCAGGATCTGCTATGAGCTGCTGGCTGAGGCAGGGGAAGAGACTGCACAATTTTGGCCACGCACTACAGAGTGTGTAGTCTAGTAAACTGCAGATTAGCCAGGCTTGACTGTTATCTTAATTTACAGCCCATGTAGTTCATGTTAATTCTACCCACATTTTTTGGTATATTAGCACCCTAGTTTGACCCAGATACTTTTATTGGTTATTCACCATTTCTTCGTGACAAGTTATTACTGACTTCCCATTCTAGCTCCCTACAGCAAGACCCGAAGCCTTGTCAAAGAAAAGAAAACGTCAACAGACTCCTCAGCAGTCCTCACTGCAGCTCAGGCTCCTGCTCACCAGCTTTAAATTGCTACTAGGCAATCATTAAAGGAGCAGCAGCTTCTATGCAAGCTGCGATTATGGTGGTATAAAAAGCAGCAACCAGAGCCAAATCTAATTCAGGAAAATCATCACTTCCATCTGAATATGCAAACCCATCTCCCTTTGGTCAGTGCAGAGAGCTGCTCAGGAAGCCCTTTTCTGATCAAGCCTCAGTAGTTAAGTTTGGACAGTCACGCAGAAATCCCCCATTCCTTCTGCTCCGCTACCCTGTCTAGTTGATAACATTTTCACACAGCACTTTCAAAGGCTGCCGTTACTGCTCCATGTTCTGCCTAATGAACAAGGAATTCTGTTGATGCAGAGCAGCTGTCATTCTCCTTCTGCTAACACAGCACCGAATGCACCTCATCATTGCTCACCAAGACAAGCAACTCCAACACCCAGTCTGTGGCACATTACAATACATTAATTCCTGTAATGACTCCAAAGAACAAGAAGAATCCCAGGTCTTGACCTGGGTGGGTTCTACAGAATTAACTCAGCTAGAGATTAAGGTCATACAGTGATGATAAAGTCTGACCCACTAGCCCCAGTGTCACATACTGTATAGCCCTGTGACAAATCCCATGTGCAATTCCCATTGAGCTGACAACCAACACACGTACCTCAGTCTAAGCCACCATTCACTCTAGGGAGGGTTTTTGTTTGTGACACACACTGACCTCAATTTACAGGGAGGTCAAAATGATACAGCCCATAGTCTGCACTAATAAAATAAATCACATCAGATGACAGCTGCTCCTCCCCAGCATCTTTCATTATGTTCTGCAAAATTTTGTTGCCCTAAGTTAAGAACAGAAAAAACTCCAGGACCCCTTCTATTCTCTGCTTAATACATTTACTTGCCATTCTTCATTATTCAAAGGTTTTTAAAAGTTTCTTTTCTACAGCCTCATGAAAAGCTTCCAAATTGTTTACATGCCAATGTTTGGTGTGTAGCTTAGAGTACAAAGACTAAGCTGATCTCATTTTGCCTTGGTGGGAAGTTAATTTTCCTTGTGTTTTTACAAAAGGAAGAAACAATTAGCGATTCTGAGGAGAGGCTTACACCACACATTTCCTAAACAGATTTGGTTTCTAAATAATAGGAAGTGTTTTAACAGGTTATATCAGCATTAAGATTTAAAAACTCCTGGGATCAGGTTTACTCTCCTCTTATTTATTCTCTGCACTACTATTTGTGCCTTTAAACAAAATTCCTCTCCCAGAAAATACATCCACACTTAGCCCCTTGACATTCATGCCTATGGCAAAATTATTTGCACGTTTTCCTTATTGCATAATTGTCTCATTAGCACTGTAGAAAGAAGGTGATGACTTTTCCCTCTGCACCATCAGCCTAATCCAAGAGCAATCCTGACTGGTATTGCAGGAGCAAAAGTTGTCTTTTCTAAACTAGAAGGGGACTCCGTACCTCTGAGGTGGCACTGGAAATTGAATTACAGCACTTGAGCACTGGCCTTTACTCGCGACCCTTAAGGAAGATTAAACCAGTAGGCCAGGCTGGAGCTTTCCTCTCCTTTGCTAAACATAAACATTCATATTCAAATTGCTTTCGGATATATTTAAATCAATAAAGTATTCTGGATGATGGTCAATAGGGCAAAAAACAACGCCAACTTTTTAAATACACAGATGTAGTATATACATTAACCATGAAGCCTGGCTTAAACACAGCAGTATTTACTTTATACTGTTCAAAAATGTGGCTTGGCGACTAAAATTAATAGAATTTGTCTGGAGGACAGCATAAGCTTTCTAAGAGCTCTTTCAGCTTTAACTTATGCCCCAGTTTTTGCCTTTTTTTTTTTTCTCTTCAACATCCCAATCTATGCAGCAGCACGCCTGTCCCAGTGGCACAGCAAGGCCATGGAGCTGGCATTCCTTCCAGGGCTCATGGGTCTGAGTGTTCTGGGAAACCTGTTGAAGATCAGATCTAGAAGAGGGACTGGTTTGGCTGAACAAACAAACAGCAGGTCTTCTCTTCACAATGGCCAGCTCTGTGTGTGTCCATGCATGTGTGTAATCCCTTTCTGCCCTCCTCTGCAAACCTCTCTTACCTGGCCAGGGGAAGGCTTCTTTAGGGTTACACTATCAGCCTCCTATGCAGATGTACATCTTATCAACATATCTGACAAGAAGGTACCTTTAAATTTAAATTCTCACAGTTTTGTTCTACTATTAAACTGGTTATAGGGTCATGGAGGGAAGCCCCAGGCTACATTTCAAGTGCACATCCAAATACATCATGAAGCATTATGAGGAGGCACCTAGTTGAGCTCATCTTGGTGTCCAATGCCATGCACTCAAGACAGCTGCCCTGCCAGGCTCTGACTTCCACATCCTGGCTGTGTGAATAAGCTATTATTTGAGTTTCAGAAAGCTAAGATAGAAACCTAATAAATCCTATAAGAGGGCAAGAAATAGTCTAAGTAATTGATTGCTATCTTGTGTTATTCTGTCATAAGAAGGCAAATAAGCATTTTTAGCTACAAACTGTGTTGCAATCAAAAATTTTACGCCAAATGGTCTGTTGAAAATTTCAGCCAAATTAATTAACAGTGAATACAAGGAGTAAAGTCTGCATGCTGTTGTGTGCACTTGGTTTGTGTGTAACAGAACAGGAAATCTCAGCACCCCGTTCCAATTAAGCAAAGGCTGATTTCTTATGGAACATAAATTTTCTACTTTTCCCCCAGAACAACCTTATGCCAATGTTTTAAATAGTGGTAAAACATTGTTTTTAATTTCACACCTCACATAGCACAGTCAAATGCTTCATAACAACATAAACAAAACTTTAGAGCTTTGCGACTGAAGTCAATGATTTCCCCCCCCACAATGCACTCAAGGTTTGCAGGGAGAATACAGAAACTTGTTGGCTAAGGCCACAGAAATGAGTTCTCTGGTGTTTTGGCTGCTGCTGCCAACTCTAGTCATGAATGTGTTAACAGAGGATGCATTGATCCAAATCCCATTATTCCCACCACCCATCAAGTAAAGAATAATTTATTCTATTTCTGTTCTCCTTTTGGTTGTATCGTAGGATCGAACAACTTGCGACTGGGAAACAACGCCATGTTCTTCTTGAGAAAATGCATACCCATCTGAAAAAGCAGAGGAAGAAAAAAGAAATCAGTCACTGGAGTTGAGCTCAAGAGCACTGACCACTTTTAGAAACAGTTTTAGGTATCAAAGTTATGTAGTTATGTGATGAGACGACAGCAATCTTAATTTCTGTGCTGTGCTTCTGGTGCTTAGAGCTGTGCACTGCATTGCCCATGTGGCACAGAAAGGGTGTCTGCTGCCAGCTCGGTCCCTCTGCTCCCCTCCCCAGGCCAGGTCAGTGCACACTCACCAATGCCCTCCGAGTTAACCTAATAAACTACAGATTGAATTGAATACATTCCCATAGTATTCCCATAGTGGCAGAGCTTCTCTAAAGACTTAATGAGAAGTAGAGATTTGCATTTCAGCTTGACTCCTCTGAAGTCCGCTTGATATCAGCAGTTTCTCTGGAGAAAGGTGGGAATGTCTAGCCCACAACCAGATTTTTCTCACATCTTCCTCTTAACTCCCCTCAGGATTTTTTTTTAAACAATTTTTTCAAGTGGAATCTGATGAATGACACTGTGAAACTCTTGATTCTCTCAGCCAGTCACTTATATTTGCATAGAGAAAATACACATTCTGGAGGTGTCTATTTTGTTAACCCTGCTAGCTGGCACAATCCTGTGGTCTCCCTAGAAACTGCTCAGATCAAAATAAATACATGTCTAATTTCTTTTAAAGTACCGTGGACAGGCGAGCGACATTTTTGATAACATCTGCAGAACACCACATTGATGGTAAAACAGTAACAAATAGCTAGTGGGTCAACATGATGAAACAACAGACAGACTTGCCGATGTGGCCCTACAGAAAATTCTGAATGGAAAACTATAGGAAAGGACATGAGATTTTTTGACACCCTGAGCATAAGCACAACAAGAAATCTTTGCCAGTAAGTGAAGGGGTTTCAAACAGAAATGCACTGCTCCAGTCACATATCCCTCATGGAAGTGATTGCAGGACAGCAGGAACTTTGATTTGATTACGTGACCAATCATCCCAGCATCCCATTTTATTTTCCCTTAGCAATTCCATGCCAATATACACACTGCTACAGAGGCACAGGTTCCTTTTTCCTGCCTGTAGCTGAAGGTTCACAGAATACATTCATGAAGTGCAAACAGTCTTTTGGAAAAAAGTATGTCCATACTGGATCATTGCAAAGGAAGTACGATGCACAAAACAGGCTTTCATTTAAAAAAGGGTAGATTCACACTTAAACAAACACCTCCAGTGGGTTTGTTCCATGTGAAGGGCCAGCATCCTGTTAGCATTTTTTGGCTAAATTCTCCATGGATAAGTCAACTTGGTCAAAGACCACAAGCTTAAGCCCGAGAAGACTGAAGCCCATGTCCCATTACCTGATTTGCATTGAGGTGGCTTTACCATATTTACTTATCATAAGATCATCCAGCATAGTGGAGTCTTCAACTGCCATAACTACTGCAAATCCAGCACTGACCATACAAGTCAGTCCTGGGTGTCATCTTCCCATGACCTGCTTATTCCCAGTGCTGGCACAGGCCTGTGGGCAGCCAGGCACCCAACCACTCTGCAACACCAATGCAAAACTCAGTCAAGGGAATCTGTTAACTGCTCTCACACCAATAGGAAACACCTAAATACAGCAAGAAATTTCAGGCTAAGATTATCTGTGATTAAGAATAATAGGGGTATCCTTACATGTTCATGTCCCTCATCCATCCTGGACTACCAGCAACAAGGGTTTTGTGCATACATCATGGGATAGGCTGTGACCCCCGAGCTTCTCAGTCGAAGCTCAACATTTGGCAGCTCATTTAAGACTTTTCCTGTAGATCTCTATACAGGAAGATGAGTTCATATTACATTTTTCTATTCACATTACAATTAAAATTGAACTTCAAGCTGTTTAAGCAGATGACTGTGCCCTGTCGAATCAAAATGCTGCAAATGCTTGAGTCCCATCTGCACTCCCCAAGTAGCTCTACAGAGCTACAGGTTTCCTGACCCCATCCAAAAACAATGAAAATTTTCATCTGTCATTCACTAGAGAACTTTCTGGAAGTTTGAACTTTTTCCCCAACTCCAGTTTTAAAACCACACCTATAAGCCTGCCTTGAGAACAAGGCCCTTATTGTTCAGCTGTCCTGAAGCAGTCCAAGGGAGGAGCACAGTTCTTTAGGCTTTCTGGAACCCTCACAGAAGGAAGGACCTTTATACTCTGAGACTTTCTATTAATGGATGAAAAGGGACACTTTTGAATATCTGTCAGTGGGGCTCATTTGTTAAGAAGAGATTCACATTGTCATGAAATCGAAGGTTTCCAGATATTATCAGACAATCTACTGAATTTTAAAAGCATCCTGTTGGGTTTTCTTAAAGCTTTGATATTATGAGTAGATCTGAATCTAGTCTCCCATCATGTCTCTAATTTAACACACTCTTCTTCTGTTCACTGCAATGGCTGTTCTGTCTGTGCAACGCTGGACTAGAGCAACCATCTCGATGGGTGTGCCTCCAACACAGACAGCAACATCGTGCAAGCTCAACAGCACTCTCATGGCACAGCTTCCAAGACCAGGACCAGAAAGGGTCCAGAGGGGTCTTTTCATTCCAGAAGATCTCCTCATGGAAGGACTGCTTACAGTTTTAGTCAGTTCAGGGATTTATTTTAGAGGCCTTCTACTCCTTGCACTCTCCTCTGATACACCGAAATTGTCTTTCCAAGGATTTGTTTAGGACAGCCAGCAAGAGGGCAGTTGTCAATGGCAGCCCATCAGAAACCCTCACCTGCATACTTCATACTGCAGTGCTATTGCGGTTTAGTATTTAGTACAATCCAAAGTATAAAATGCATTTTTTTGTTTGCCTTTGGAGAAAAATGCCCAGATTCAAATCCACTAAAACTTTTAGGGGGTTGGGGAGATGCGAGAGACTTTTTTAAAAATCTCATTTAGGAAATATTGCTTCTTAGCAAAACTCTCTCTGATATAATGAAAATCAACATTGTGATATCACTTGACCAGCCAAATTCCATCTCAGGCGAAACACTTGGTTCTGCAGAATTTTTAAGGAGATTTGCTTTGATGCCACAGTTCACATTTACCAGTCAAAAAGGGAAGGCTAACTCAGCTTCGACTGCTCCAGCAACCATCTTCTGTTTAACCTGGGAAAGGGAAAGCTGCCTAAAATCTTGAACAGTTTGACTAATGCTTACCGAAGTACATAATTTCTCTTCTGATAAACCATGCCTGTGTTTTCTTAAGGACCCAAGAGGAATTCCTGACAAATGGTCTCATCTCTTTAGTCTCAGATACCAACTTACTGGTATTTGCAAGTAGAAAATAGAGTCAGATGCCACAGCAATCAAATTCTAAACCAACAATTCCTATTTCTTTTTCCTAAATTGATATTAAGAGATTGCAACTCCACTTAACTGTCAACAAACATGTAGCTTGGAAAAAATACAGAATGCATACTATATTTCAAACACAAGCAAGATAAAAGGAAAAAGAGTTTAAAAAACATCTCAAGTAGCTCCCCTGTTGTTATTCAAATAAAAATGCACTAGCAGAAAAATGAAAGGAAGAAGGTGCCTGCTAGTGGAGAATAAATGGTGGGATTACAGCCCTCAGCATGAACACATTATTATTATTTATCATTTGCCAGCCCCCATACTGTGAAATGAACCTCAGCTGACAGGTGCTTTTTTTCCACTGATTAATAAGGTCCAAACCATATGCTCTGCATTCAGATTTACTCTATGAAGTCACCATATTCTGTCAAAGGAAGAAGGATTTTCTTTGCTAGCATAGGAAGCCTGGGCCAAGTTCAGTAATCCTCACCCAGGCATGGCTATTGGTGTTTCAGGGGGAGCTCTGCCAAAACCGTGCTTAATGGGAGCACGACTCAGCTCTATTTTTAAAGAGCATATTGAGACAAACGATAACTGAACACCAGCAGAGCAGGGGCATTACAGGAGGCAAACCACCCGAGAAGGATGCTGTGGAACTTTCCTTATGGATGCAGGGTACCCTTCCCATCCTCTGGGGGCACAGGTGATACAGGTCAGTCACGCAGGAGGAAAGGGGAGGTCAAGAGCCATCTTTTATATCTACAGAGTTTGTCTAAAGGAGGTGCTGCTCTCATAAAGTCACAGAAGTAAAAAAGACAAGAACTTGGATGGAGACCTGGGGAAACCTTCACTGCCAGCAAAACCTCTGAGGGAGCATTTTTGGAAATCATTATTGCTCCTTCCCTCAAGGGAGAGCCACACAGCAAACTAAAGGGAAGGGTACAAGGAGAGGAGCCTGGTAGCATTTCCTATTCATTCTTAAGAGGTTTCAGAAGGCAGATGGCAACAGGGAATGACCAATTTCACCAGGCACCTTCACCGGAAGGTGAGCACAGCCTGGAGAGCAGTGTTGTCAGCACTGCCTACAAGATTGCACTGAGATGGTTTTGTTTTAGCACTTGGGCTTGACAACTATATGCAACTCTTTCACTTATGTCTCCTGACAAAGCCATCCAAGCAGGAGCTTCAAGCTTCCTAATTTTTTTTTTTTTTTTACGTTTTCATACGCTTCCCAGAAGTTATACTAGTAGAAAGGAACCACGTGATCTTTGACAGAACAGCCTGTAGGTAGATTTATTTCATGCTTCTGGCAGCTCTTCACAATTCAGGAACACAAAGAGCAAGAAAAGTAACCATGAAGGTTTTACTTTAATGACATACTCTTCCAAATGGACAGAGTTACTCTCCAAGGCAGCCACTCTGAGCCAGTTTCTTTAATGTGAGGAGGTGATTGAGAGACTGCTCCTGGCTGCCACTCCCATATGGCACTGCCATGGCACTGGCTGTGTGGCTCTGTTGCCCACTTTGGGGGCTGGGTCTGCAAAAGCCTGGTGCTGTATGGGAGCACCCCAGCCATACAACATGCCTTAAGGTCTTGTGCTGTGCTAATGCTTTTGGAAAAGGGCTGGCTCATCAACAGGGAGATACAGAGTGAGCTTCTGCCTCTTGTACAGGGCTGTGTAGCTTTACTTCAGTCAGCTCTTTCCTCCCACCATTGACCACCAGTAGTAGCACAGAAACTCCTTGTAAGATTTGTCTCCTTTCCATGGGACTGGAAACAAAGCTGTCTAGGCATTGCTTCCTCCCAAAACATTTGGACATTGTTTCTGTCAAAAATAAAGTAATTTCCAACCCAGTACTGCATCTTTGCAATCTGTACTAGGAAATTTAATCCCATTTTCATTCCTTGTTGGGACCAAGGCAATCCATTTGCTTAAGCTTTTGTCAGCTCTAACTAAACAAACCATTTTCCTGCTTTATATGTAAGCAACAGATTCTGAGTTGAAGCCACAAAAACAATTTTTGGTCTACACAGCCTGGGAATTTAAGGCCTGGTGGAAACATATGAACAGTTCAAGACTTCAAACAGAGTACTTGTAGTGTGATTTAAGATACCAGCCCGGCATGTCAAGGCTACTGCCCTATTCATCAACTCTCTGCTTTGAAGATTTCTAGCATTTAGTAAACAGTTGTACAATTTAGAGTTGTGAAAACAGCACATATGTTCCCTGGATTTCACATGGCCTTGTACATATAGCAGCTATGCAACACTGGAAAATAATATTTGACAAGAGATGACAGAAGTCATGGACACATCACAAAAACCATCTTTCAATCCTAACAGCTTCACAATCAAAATTTATGTTCACATGAAAAACAGATTGCTGATTGTAACCTGTCCTTACTGGCCTGACTCATTTAGCACTTAATCATTTGCATTTATAGGGAAGCTGGTTATCCAAATTAGGGTTTATATTTTGATCTTATTTTTCTTCCCCAATAGCTGTTCACCTACTAACAACCTGATAATGTGTTCTTTGAGACTAAAAGCACATACTAAATCTGACTAGTTACCTCCTGGTGTATCTCCTTTCTACACTGCTTCACAGGTTTCACAGACTGTGGTAAGTCTCTGCAGCAGACTATTTTGATTTCTTTTATGGATTTCTTCTGTCAATCATTGCTTTTGGAATCTCCTCAAAGAGCCTGTTTGCATGCCCAAACCCATGTTGCTATCAGCATCCCTGGCTTTTTTATACAAAGGATTAAATCAATGCAGAAACATGGTCCACAGGGCTGCTCTGCTCACTGGCCTCTCTCCCCAGATGGTGGGATTGATTGCCAATCAATTGATGTGGTGGGATTGATTGCCAATGACCCTACATCCCTTGACACTGATGGCGGCCTTCCAATGGCTCTATCAAGGACAAAGACTATCAGACCCATCACTGTCCCACCCCTTCTAGTCAAATTTCCCATGGAAAACAAGACTACCTCAGGTATTACCCCAGCCCTGCCTCCATGACCTGAGCCATAACAGTTCTGCTACAGAAGGAGACACAGCCAGCAACAAAATTTGACTCTGTGATTCTTAAGCAGTCAAGGGTGTCACTTCCTACTGCAATGGTAATACAAACCCCAAATCCTGAGTGTCTGCCCCTTGCCCTCTATGCAGCAGTACTGCACACTGAAGGAGTTAATTTCTTTAGTAAATAAGCATATTGTCATAACCAGTTTAATCACAGGAGAGACTGCATTTCCTCACTAGAAAGGGCTCACTGGACTCCCTGGTCTCTCAAGACAGCATGGTCCTTCAAACCATCTGGCCTACAGAGCTGCTAGAGATGATTTTAAATACTGTGGAAGCCTTTAAAACACTGACAAAAACCCATCAGGTCCAGCAGACACAGGAAGATGAATAAATGGATGACTTGTACGTCAACAAGAAATGCCATTTATTTGAAGCAGCAGTAGTAGCCAGTTGTGACGTTGCTTTTCTTCTCCCAGCAGCAGACAAAGAGGGAAAGGAGAGGAGAGAAGCAGCTCTGCAGGCCATGGCTTTCCTCACCAGCAACACACAGAACCCTAATGGCATCCCTGAAACATCACTGTATTCTCAGCTAACCACAGCTAATATGACATTTCATACAGAAATAATTTCTATTAAAGCTAGGCTCTATCACAGCGTTTACTTTACACAGAGTTTTTCATTTTTAGACTATTCTTAAGACTATCAGAATTCTACCTTTAGAGAACCTGCATACTGGGATTTTATAATTTGGGCCTGTTGATTGGATCCTAGGGAATTAACCACATTTGAGCTCCCCTTGCCTAGGGCCAGATACACTAATTCCACTTCCAAATGTACGTGTCTTCCTTGGCAGCTCAGCCTCAGTGCTAGATTATCTCTACCTACAATTTAATTAAAAAATAATCACCCTTGGCTTCCCTCACGTGGGATGACGCTGTGGAACACCAGCGGACGTGAGCCACTACTTACGTGACACGCTTTGCTGGACGGAGTGAGCACGGAAAAGGCTCGGGGGAGTTTTCCTGCCGAGCCTTTTTAACAAATGGTCACGTTCGTTCACGCTAAGGGAGACAGAAAGAGAGAAAACACACCAGTGAGTAACCAGATAATTTCAAGGTAAAAGTCAACTGTGCTTAAAGTACCTGGCAGCTCTGACTGTCAATGCTAAAGGTGGCTGTAGCATGAAAAAGAATTTTCTCTCTCTGTAAACTACACATTATGAAGAGAACTCCTCCTTTCTAAGGACACTTTGTATAAGTTTGCTTTTGGTCAATTCATCCCCAATATCACCATCACAATGATTTCTGAATGTGTGATGCCTCTAAATTATTACAAACCATATCGGAAGTCTGACATCGATTGATATGGAACATTAGAAAGATTTCTCTTTAGTATTATGCACATGAATCACAACATCCACAAACTGCCTTAGAGAGCAGGAGCAAAGCATTGTTGCTTAGCACAAAGTAGAAGGCTTCTATCACACCTGCAAAATGGCCTGAAGCAACCAAAGGTAGGACCCATAGTTAATTCTGCCCTCTAAAAAACGCTCTCAATTTTAACCTCCCATATGGAAAGAAAACTTCCTATCCAGATTCCTTTATTAAAAACCTCTTTGGTTTACACAGTTCTTGTCAGAGGCACGATAAAATTACTGCTGAATTAATAAAATGTGAAAATACAAACTTAAGGTGAAAAACACAGTACGCTTACAACAGGTTTAACATACCTACAGGAATTATTAGAGGCATTCTCCATGTCAATTGTTATAAAAAAGCACAACACTCACTTCATCAAGAGTTAAAAAATGATGACTAAGATCCTGACCTTTCAAAGCACTTAATTATGTATATGAGTCCCACTAAGTTCAGTGGGGTTTTAAAATATTGGAGGCCTTCAAATCTCATTACACTGAAGCCTCAAGTAACTTAAATATCAGATTATTTTCAGAAATATATAAAGAGTCTACTTTGGTTCAAAGTTCTCCACAACCTCACCCTTATTTCTGACACTGAGATGGAGCTAGTGCATAGAAGAGATCTGTTTGCTGGTACAGCTCCTTGCAGTGCCTTTATCCCATTTGCCCCACATTTACACTGCGTCTCCATTTTCACAGTCTGCTTTTTCTTTCACATCTTTATTCACAAGGAGGAATTGCACTGATTATGCTGCAAACATGGATACACACCTGAATGCCAGTGCTGGTATCTTTCTTGGGTTAGATTACAAATTCACATGCATTTGGTGTATGAAATGGAAATCCCAGCAAGAACAGCTGCTGCTGTCGACATGCTAACAACAGCTTTAAACAAACAATTCCCTTTCACTGAAGAAGTTTGCTAACTTCAATCAGGAAAGTAACTGAAGAATCTCTGAGATGCCTACAATATGTAATCCAGCCATGCAGGCTTATATTCCACTTAATAGTCCATTAGGGTAATAGCCAGGCTCACAGTCCTCTGTTCAGTGCATAATGAGGTGTCCACAAAAGACAGGGTGGAATCCTTCTCTTTTTCCTGTGATCTCCAAGCTCACACATCTGAACTAGAAGCTTGTAAAACCTATGGACTCCTCCTCAAAATCTTTACAAACTCTCAGCATTTTCAGACACTTGGTCTGTTCCCCTCCTTCCCCTAGCATCACAGAATCACACCTGCAATGGGCATGGCAGGTAGGTCGCTTTCCCTGCCTGCAATCAGCAGTATTCCCTCAACATAAAACAGAAGTTAATAATAAATTTTGAAGCAAAAGTATTGATTCCAACTGAGTTTGTCAAACAAACTCTAACAACTCTTGGCCCATGAGACCTGCATGTGTTCAAAGAAGAAAGGATCAGAGGTTTCCATTAAAACTAGGGTTACAGCATGAAAGCTTCTAAAAATCTTAGAGCACCCAACTGATTAAAAAAAAAAAACCCAAAAAACCCAAGATCAGTTGCTGGCTGTAAGAAAATAAATTACAACAGAAAGAAGGTTCTACCTGTTCCAAGCAGGCAGCATGATGGAAGACCCATACTACAAAGAATCACCACATAAGGGTGATGCAATGGAAGGCACAAAGCAAGACATGAGACTTCTCTAACCTTTAACCTTCCTTGCTTAGGAAGTTGACAGCCTGCAGAACCAACCACTACCAGTGCATGTGCAAACCAGTGATGCTGTGCTGTACAACCTCCTGCTGACTGCAGAAGACTGCTGGGTAAATTGTTAGTTTGGTGAAACACTGTTTGAACACACTGCTGTCCTGTGAGTGACAGAAGTGCAATACTTGTTCATGTTCTGCAGGTAAAGAACGTGTAGGAACAATCTTTTCTATCTCAGTAGGAGGGCAATTTAAAAAAAAGGAATCTTAAACCAATCAAAAATACTTGTTGTAAGGGACAAATAAGCAATATATGCCACAAAATTCTTACACTGATAATGGAATTAACCACAGCAGAAAAGCTCACAAGGAAAAATTCTTCATCTGCTTGTCTACCATGCAGCAACAGATGAAGTGCAGACCAACAATGCTTAGCCCCTTAGGTTTCTTCATTCAATGTGTGGAAGAAAGCCTGCAGTTAAGGGACCTCTGAACAGGAATGACAGATTGCAGCTCTAAGAATGCCAAAGCTATGCTGTCTTTGATATTGCTAATTACGATCAACAAGTTCAAAACTGAAGTCACATCTGACTTCCCCAAATGGGAAATTATACTGGTTTGTATCTATTCAGATAAAGAAAAACTCACAGCAGAATTAGCGCATTTGTGGTTTAAGTATGAGGGATGACTAAATAGACTGCAAGTCAAGACCACTCAAGTACTATAAGACAAACCTTTAACACACAGAAAGCAATGCACACAGTTCTTCTGAACTGGATGAGTATTTGATTTGCTAACAGATATTAGATATCCCAATAAAATCCCTGAAAGTGAAGTGGCTTTCTAAAGTAGTAAGTATTTCACTCATATCAAGTCCCTGCTTTCAGAAAAGGTTTCTGTCTGCTGCTAACAGGTAACAAAATGAAGACTTCTCTGTCTGCCTCACACGTTGATGCAAGAGTAATGACAAGACTGGGCTCACAGGCAACAGGTTGGGCCTTGCTCACAGAAATACTGCTTCTAAATCAATCCCAAGCATTAGCTATTATTTTCTGATTTAATTCTTTTTTTCTAGTAACTCCAAGCCAGGGCCTAAACACTCCCATGGGGTCTAAGGAGGGCATCTTCAGATGCATTGAGGCAAAAGGATACAAGATCATGAGATCACACTCTGAACACTGGACAGTTGTGCTCATATTCAGGAACTCAAAGATCTCATCAGAACAGAAGAAGACACAAGCCCAGACATTCTTATGGAAGTCAGTGACATGGAAAGTGACAGTGAAATACACTTTAGCTGCTTAGTCAGTGACCTCCAAGGGGGTAAGGGAGAGGCACCATCTATCTGTAATTATATAAAGGACAAAGGACACAGACAAAATGCTTTGAACTAAGTAAATATTTGACTAGAACAAAAACTATTGAAAGGTTCAGATTCTGAGGGTTTATATGAGGAAAAAAAAATTCATTAGTCAAGTCAGCTAAAATCAGATTTAGTTGCTATCAATAATGCAGAATACCTTAGGCCAGGCATACCTTTGTGACGGCTTCATAAGAGAGTCTAGATGACTTCTGCATGCCTGGAAGTCTGTGCCAGCAACATCACACAAATTCATTACATGAATGACAAATCAAAACGTAAACTAAAGGCAACATGTTATTTCATAACAATGCTTTCAGTTCTATGAATAAAATGGCTCTTCCATCTTCCTATCTGAATTGCTCTAAGGTGTCAACAGAGACCTTAATTTTATTTTTGTATTCTCTTCTTCTCATCCCTCACAAAAGCAAACAGACTTTTAAATCTAGGCAACAAACATCTGGCTTTACACTTTCAAATGAGATGCATCAAAACAAACAGAATAATTCAAAGCTGACCACAAGGTCCTGCTGTCTCATTTGCTCAGGTAATTAAAAAAAGATGAGCTTCACCACCAATTAATCTACTGAGCACTAATTAGTGTTAATGAGGATTTGGGGTATTTGGTATAGCTTGACCCAGAATGTCCTCCTGAGTCCATTAATTGACTGGTGGCAAAAGCCAGGATCACAAAGACCAGAAGGTTAAAGTGGATGCAGGTGTCTGTCAAAATTGGATCTTCCCTGAGAAAATATATGCATATCCCAGTTAAAAAAAAAAAAAAAAAATTCAGAGCCCTCCTTCTCTTACAAAAGCTGAATTCTTGTTTGTATTTTGTTACAATTTTCTAGAGGAGATAAGCACACCAAATAGGCAAATACACTCAATTGCCACTGGTTTTAACTCACTGCCCTTCTGGATTATGAAGAATTCAGTCAGATACAGACATTTAAAATTATTTGGTTTGTTTCTGCTTTTCCCCTTTCCAGAAGGAAGAACTGAGCTGCCTAGTGAAGCCTTACCAGGGCTGCTAGAGATGACACAACTAAAGCACACAAGCACATTTCCCAGCTGATACCCCTGTGCTGAAAACATGCCAGGAACTCACAGCAGAAGCTTGGCTCTCCAGTGCAAGATACTCAGGGTCCATGGGTAAGCCCAGTGGACAAGAAAGCTGCAGCTGCTTTCCCTATCATCTGAATGTGTACAAAGCCCTCACCATAGTGTCTGCAGGTGCAGCATCACTGGTTCTTCCACCCTACAGTGGTGCTGTGGCAGACAGCCACAGGTAAATCATTGTAGAGCTTGGTTTAAACCAGAAAATCCTCCAAGGCTTAGGCTGAAGTTCTGTCCTTAACTCCACAGCCTCCTTCCTACCCATATGTATTTTCAAAAGAAACAGCAGGCAAACCCTTGTTCTCTTTGCATCCACTGGCACACACTCTGCTAAAGACAGCCTGAGAAACTCTGGCTGGCTTGCATTCTTCTCCTGTTGGAGGAAACACCTTGCAATGTGTTGCCCTCTCATTGTGACACCAGGGACAGGAAAGAATGAGGGAGGGGAAGAGACAATTTTGCAAAATGTCCCATATGGCTAAACCCAAGGTAAAAGACTAGGAA